TGGCAGCAGTTCTGGAAGGCACGCTGTCTTGCGCGTGCGTTCATCAAGTATTTATGTAGTGCTTGCTGTGTGCCGGGCCCTGTGCCACCCATTCACTGGCCTGTGAGTTGGCCGCCGCCCAGTACTCCACCCAGTTGCTGCCCAGGCCTCAGCCTCCTCGTCCTCTCAGCAGCAGTTCACACCCTCCCTCCTTCCCCACCACCCCCTCCCAGGCCTCCTGGCTTTTCTCTTACTTCTCTGTCTGCCCTGCAGTCCCCTCTTCCTCTGCTTGTTCCTCAGCTGGGGAGCCCGGGAGCCCTCCCCTCGCCCCGTGGACAGAGGCTTGCCCTGGGCCTGCTCACCTTTTCCTGTAGCTCCTGGTACCATCTCCACTCCTGCAACTCCCAGATCTGTCTCTCCAGCCCAGACATCTTCCCTGTGCTCTAGACCAAAAACTGTGCCTGCCTTCTGGTGCACCCTGACCGTGATGAGTGGTGACCTTCCCAGACAGCCGTAGCCTCCTCTGTGCGCGGCAGCCTCCCGGCCTGAAACCCGGACGCCTCCTCCGATGAGGAACCACCAGGTCCTCTTGATTTGGCATCACGACTCTCGAGTTGGTGCCCTTCCTCCTGTTGCCACCTGCCTTGGCCATGTCCCAGGTCACCAACTCGCCCTGCCTCCAGGCTCCCCCCTCGAATCCATCCTCCAGCAGCCGTCAGAGGCTTCTGCTCCTGTCCCTCTGCACTCTGGCACCCTCTTTGCCTTCCTGAACAGGCACACACCCTTCTCTATCTCCCCCTGCTCACCTCTCCAGCTTTCTTTCATTGGGTCCTGGCTGCACCCCTTAGAGCTCTGTGGCCTCAGTTATTTAACTTCTTTGAGTTTCAGTGTTTTCATCTTTAAAAGGGGGTTTCAGGGAGCACTGAGCGAGACAGTGGCAGTCAGAGCTTTACTTTCCTGCCTGGTGTATCTTACGGTGAGGGCTCCGGGAACGGGGCTTGCGCCTCTTGCACTGAGCCTCCCTGGCCCCATCCTGGCCCTCTGCTCACATTCGCCAGGATGTAACGCCCCACCTCCTCCGCCTAAAACCTCCTTCAGGACTCATCCCGCTTCGCATGTTTACCACCTGGCTCCAGCTCTGCTCACTTCGGCTGGGCTGTCCTTTCAGGGAGGGCCTGGGGCTGGCTCCCCTCTACGAAGTCTCCCCAGTGCCCCCCACAAGCCTGGCTAAGGGACAGGTATCTCTGAGCCCTTGTTGATGAATTATTTCATGAACGTGACCTTCAACCTTGTCCCTACGGACTGATGTCTACTCCTTCTGCTTCCCCGGTCCAGGAAAGACCTCTTTGTTAGACCTTTCTGCCCCTGGCAGCTGTGACCTGAGGTTTGTAGGCCCAAAATCCAGCTCCTAGGATAGAATGGTGCCTGAGGGGACTCAGCCATCTCACCTCTGGTAGAGGTAATGGACAGGACTCTTCTCCATCACTGCCGGCCCCTGGCCCCTGATCCCAGTAGCAGCTGCCGCTATCCTCTTGTCACTTCAGAATGTGCTGGGCTGTTCCATGCCCATTGACAGAGACATCCCTTCTTAGAGTGGAATCAGGCCCTGAGCACTCGGCTGTTTACAGGGACTTTCACGGTTTATGCATCACCGACAGTTTACAAAGCGCCTTCCTGCCTTTGGTTGCACTGGATTCTCCAGCATCCCTGAGAAGTGGGACAGGCTGTGCTTATCATGCCCACTTTATGGCTGAGTTAAGAAGGTCACCTGGGGTCACATGTGGAAGTGCAGGGCCAGGGAGCTCCCTGTGTGAGGCCCCCAGGAGCCTTCTGGTATCACATATGCAGGACCTGGGGCCTGGGGAATGGCTGGGCCCTGCGAGGGCTGCAGAGCGCCACAGTTCCATTGTGTCCAGACCTCAGGCCCCTCCTGACCAGTGCCCAGAACTCCTCAGGCATCTTTGGGCCAGGCCACAGCACATGTCACCAGGGTTTGGCCCCAGAGCAGCGCTGGGTAGGAGGGCAGCTGGTGGTGTATATCCAGGTGTGAGCTCTGCACCACAGGCGTGTTCCTCACTGAAGGGCTGTGACCTGCTACAACATGAGTCTCTTGGAGAGTTTGAACTTGGGAGCCAGGGTGGGCCCAGCAGGAATGGGACAGGCTCAGAGAGAGTGGCAATCGAGTCAGGAGCAGGCGGTGTCACTGGGCAGTGAGTGGGGACTCACCTCCCACATGGGGCTCCGAGAAGAGCTATTGGCCACTTGCTGTGCCTGGACAGAGCCCCAAAGGGCATCCCGTGCTCCACTCATCCCGGTGGCCTGAGTGTGTGAGCCGCCATCCCGTCATGGTTTACGCATCGAGGACAACATAACATACATGTCCACCTGCTCACTCAAAGCCCACAGACCCCAGATTGGAGTGGGCCTGAGGCCCCCCCCCCCGACACACACACGCACACACACTCTGCTGGCCAGCCCCAGCCTGTCCCCCCATTCTGCCCTGCCATCCATCCTCCATGTGTGCCAGGAGAACATACTGTGGGCTCGTGGTCACAGTTTCCCTTTGGCCTGAGCACACTGGCAGCTCCCAGGCAGTGCTGACTCCCAGGTTCCACCTTGTGAAATGGAAAAGGCAAATTCTTATTTCAGTTTAACGGAAAAATGGCTACTCTGAGATGTCCAGAGACTGATCACACCGCAGGTTAGGTTTTAATTTCTTTTTTAATTTTTGAATTTGATTTTAGAGAAAGGAAGGGAGAAGGAGAATCAATGTGAGAGAGACACATCAATCAATTTGCCTCCCTCACACACCCCGAATAAGGAGCAAATCCGCAACCTGGGTGTGTGCCCTGACCGGGAATCAAATCCACAACCCTTTGGTGTACAGGATGATGCTCGAACCATCTGAGCCACCCGGCCAGGATGCAAGTTGGGTTTTAGAAGAGCTGAGGCCAGGAGCTAGGGGTCCCAGACTGGACCGTTTACACGGCCACCCCTCCCAGGTTAGGCTGGACTGCAGGAGTAGGTCAGCGGTTGTCAACTTTTTGATCTCAGGACCGTTGATTGTAAATATCAGAAGACCTCAAAGAGCTTTTGTTTGTGTGGGTTTTATCTGTTGCTTTTTGCCATATTAGATAATAAGACTGAGAAGATTTAGATACTTGTTAATCTACTTTAAAATAACTTAAAACCCCATTACATGTTAAGATAAACAATATAAATTTAATGAAAAATAATCATATTTTCTCAAACAAAACATTTAGTGAGAAGAGAGCAGCATTGTTGTACACTCTTACAGATCTTCTTTAATTTTGGGCTTACTAGAGGACGGCTGGATTCTCACGTCTGCTTCTGCGTTCGGGTCGGTTGCAATATCGCACATCGTGGAGCCTCTGGAAAACTCCACCGCATGTTTATGAGAGAACAAGAGTGAAAAAGGCAAATAATTTCTTAGTCTTATGAAAATTACTTTGACCTTGTGGACCCCCTGCCAGGGTTTGGGGGACGGTGAAGGTCCGTGGACCGAGTTTGGAGGGTCATTGTGACCGTGGCTCTTTCTAGACAATCTCTGCACACACACACCCCCCCCCCCCCCCCGCCACACACACACACACACACACACACGCACACACACACACACGCCAGGCCCCGATAGCTGCCTTTGCCTTCTCTCTAGCCTCTGTGTTTGCAGGAGGGCCCTGAGCCAGACAAACTGAGTCCGTTCCTGCCACTTCACTCAAAAGCTATGTGACCTTGAGCTTTGGGCCGGTCACGGGTTTTCCTCAGCCTCTGTTTGCTCACTCCTCTGTGGAGATGGATAAGTCCCCCTGGGCGGGTGATGGATGGTAACTCCCCCAGGTGTGTGTCCTCAGGTCCATGGGATCGTGATCAGTGTTGTCTCTTGGCACTTCCCTCCCCCAGAAGTGGACAGAGACGAGAAGGGGAGGCAGGGTTGGGGCTGGATGGGGGAGAAGGGGCCTGTGCACAGCCTCAGAGGAGGCCCCGTTGGGAAGAGAGCCTGCTCAGACCTCACACTAGCCCTGCATTGGGCATTGGGAGGGTGAGCACTTGGCTACTGCTCCCAGGATTGCGAAGCACTGAACAGACACAGGGTGGGCACTGGCCTCTGGCTCTCACCAGTCAGGTTGGGGAGAAGCTCAATAGTCACTCAGTTTGTAGAGGGATGAGTGGGCTTTACAGGGTCTGCCACTAGGTTGTAAGCTCAGCCTGGACTAGCGGCAGGGTGAGCCGGTGTGTTTGTTCAGGGAGACCTGGTGATCACCTATGGTGAGCCCTCCTTTTTGCCCTTCTGTCTGCTTAAATGCCCGGGTTTGTTTTGGTAAGTGCTTTGTTTTGAAATCTACCCCACCTGTGGATTTGGGTGGCCCTGCGGGGTGGAGTGGCTACCTCTTTTCTTCACCTCCCCCCTCCGTTGGCCTCAGCCAGTGGGGTCTGCAGGAGCCCCGACTCACCATCCTGATGCCCATCACCCCCAGCCCTGCGACCCCCACCCCACTCCCCCACTCCTCGGAGTAGTGCCGGTGACCCGGGGGACACAGCTCCCCCCACACTCAGCTCCGGTGCTTGCACACACATTACCTGCGTCAGCCTGACTCGGGCCTCAATTTCTCCGTGTATATAAGGCCCTTTCTCGCGTTTTATTTTATCTGATTTGGCTTTTTGTGGCTTTCCTTCCTTTTGTACTAATGCTTCTCTCTGATCTTATTTGCATTCAAATTACCTCGCCAGGTGGTTCACCAATTAGAGGTAAGAATGCTGTCCGTGCATCTCGCCTCGCCACGCCACTGCGTCACCACCACTCCATCCCGTCCGTCACCTCCCCCATCCCCATCCTGACCTCTCCAGCCTCATCTCCAGCTCTGGCCCCTCAACACCACCGGCCACCACACACATCCACACTCGGTCATTCCCTCCTGTGGACTCATCCATTGCAAGTCTGGATTGTGAAGACAGCTGAGCCCCACCTGGGGGACGGCAAGCCCTACGGCCCGGCCTCCCAGGCCAGCCCCACAGAGGGGCTCCTGCAGTGAAGCCAAGCCCTGGTCCTCAAGGCTGGCCCAGAGGGAGTCTTCCTCTGAGGTGGGGGAGCATGACGAGGCCTTGCCTTTCCTCCCAAGAACCTCCTTTGTCTTGGGTCCCTCCATTATTAACTCCCTTTAACATCCTGGCCCCATGGTGAAAGGAGGGCCATCCCGTAAGTGCCTCAGCCCAGCACACACTAGGAGGAACAGGCAGTGAAGACGGTAGTGTAGGTGGTGGGGTGACAGCTGAGAAATACAGGTCCTGTGTGACCAGACCCCTGACCTGTTAACCCCTGGCTGCGTTCCTGCAGGAGCCCAAGGGTTCAAAGCCCAGACTCTGGACTAAAAGATTCGGGTTCAAGTGTGACTCACCACCTATGTTACCTTCAGAAAAGCGATTCCTCTCTCAGAAGTCTGTGTCCTCCTCTTTAAATCGGGGCCAAGACCCCACCTCACGGGACTGTGAGGATCAGAGGAGAGGATAAGGATTTGGGCAGCGTCTGGCACAGAGCGGACACCCTGCAAAGTGGTTGCTTCTCTGCTGTATTTACATCATTTTCTTCCCACCTCACAAGTGTCCTCGGGCACATCTAGTCCCTCGGAGTTCAGGGCCAGGGTGGTCTCAGGACAGAAGTTGGGGCTGGGAAGAGCCGCTGCCACCCTATGGAGGTTGGTTCCAGATTTGGGGTTTCTGTGTACAGATAGGCTCAGGGTCTGTGTTGGGTCCCCTGGCCAGTCCTGGCTCTCAGCGCAGGGGAGCCTCCTCTCCCAGCAGGGCTCTCACCCAGGCACTGCTTCCTGTTCCTGTCTGGCACCCCTCCCGCCCCAGCTGAGCTGAACTTAGTGCAGCCCCCCTGCCAACCCCACCTGTTTGAATGAACATTTTCTGTAACAGCGTCCATCCATCCCATGAACATGACCTACTGGGTGCCCATTGGGCTGCTCTCGCAGGAGAAGGGTGTTTGGCATGTACCCCGGGCCCTCACGCTCCCCGATGCCCACTGAAGCCAGGACCGCAGAGCTGGCCAGCGCTTTGCCTGCATCAGGACTGAGCCTGGGAAGCCCCTTCTCCCATCTCCAGCTCCCAAGCCCCTGGTGTTCACAGCCCCTCCTGCTGCCCTGGGTCTGGGTGGTGGGAGAGGGACGTCAGGCAGTAAAGGGGCTGCAGCTTGGTCCTCCCCGGGGGCCTGGGCTGTGAGAGCGTGGCTTGGACCTCTTCCTGTGGCTCCTGTCCGGACCAGTCAGTTGGGGTCCACAAGTTCTGTCTGTGTCCTCTGTGGGTATGACCGTCAGCCGGCCTGAGCCCTGGGAGGGGCGGGCTGTTAGGGTCACCCTGGCTGTCGTGTGCAGGCGGTGGTTTTCTGTCAGGCTGTGTCCTGTGGGGTTATTCACTGTCCATTGGACTGTCCTCTGTGGGTGTGATTGTCTGTCGGCTTGTTCCAGGGAAGCGGTGTTGCCTGTGCCTCAGGGAGTTACCGTCAGACAGTTTGCCCAGTGGGCTCTCACGGGCAGCTTTTTCAAGTGTTTATTGCCAGGACTGGGGGAGTGGCCAAGTCATGTGGTTTCACTCTCCCACCACCACCCTTGTGTTGGGCTCCTCCACCTGGACCTACCGGGATGGGCCCCAAGCCCAAGTTTCCTCCACCCTCTGTGAGAGTCCTTTTCAACTGCCCCCCCAATCCTGGCTCCTGTCTGTCCGTCTGCGGCCAGAGCAGCCCCTCAGGGCGCCGGCCCGGGTGGGAGCTGCAGCCTCCATTAGCCTCCTGAATTATGCAGGAGCCGTGGTGGGTCGAAGCACTTTAGTGGGACCAGGCTGAGGAGAGGAGCCGGAATGGGTGGGGCCAGTGGGAGGGAGGGGTGGGAGGGGAGGATGGGTGCTGTGAGCAGAAGCAGCTGGACACCAGGCCCTCAGGGCAAGCCCCTTCCTTCCTGTGGGATTCTGGTGGGTGGCGGGTTCCCAGGCTCTTGCCCGGTGAGGGCATTGCATGCTTGCACATCCTAGGCCAGCAGGTCTGCAGGCTGTTCCCTCCCACGCCTGGCTGCGTGGCCTGGCACAGCCGGGAGCATTAATGGGGATGCTCCCTGGCAGACAGGCTTCAGTATTGGCCGGAGGGTAGTGGACACTCAGTGGCTGGCAGTAGAGCCCCTGGCAGAGCCGATGGGTGGGGCAGGATTGTGCTTCAGACTACAACCCTTGGTTCCAGCCAGGAGCCACTGGGCTAGTCAGGGAGAGCTTCCTGGAAGCAGCACTGACTTTGGGGTGTGGCCCCGATGTCTGCAGCATCGGATCAACACAAGCCACAAATGCTGTCAAGACTCCTCCCCGTGTCCCAGGCCTGAACCTTGTCTTTATGTCCCCACAGGTGCCTTGCAGATTGAGAGCAGCGAGGAGTCAGACCAAGGCAAGTACGAGTGTGTGGCGACCAACTCTGCAGGCACACGCTACTCGGCCCCCGCCAACCTGTATGTGCGAGGTAAGGACTCGGGCGTTGCAGCGCGGGCCCTGTCTCCAAGGAGCTGAGCTGCCCCTGCTGGCTGTGGACACATGGGGGCTGCCGAGCCCCGTCTCCTCCTTCCCGCCTCTTTCTGCAGCTGTCATAGCAGCAGCAGCAGCGCCCACTGAACAAGCTCACAGTGGCCACCACCACTCGGCCTTTCTTCCCTGCAGGCCCTTTGGGAAGCAGCTGCTCTTGGAAGCATTTGTATCTCTTATAGGTCCTGCACATGGGCCCAGAGCCCCATGGGAGTCCAGAGCCTTCCGAGCAGATGTGTCTGTGTGTGTGTGTGTGTGTGTGTGTGTGTGTGTGTATGAGTGTGTGCAGCCACACACATTAGTGTGTAAACGTGCACACCTGCCTAGTCTTCCTAGAGTCTGCCCTTCTCCCTTTCCCCCATTCAGGGTGGGCTCCAGGCCAGGTGTGCCTACCCTCTGGCCAGGTGTGCCTGGGGCCTTCCTGGAGGGGAAGCCAGCTGTACTGTTACCAACCAGGACCTTTTTGTAGGGGGTCAGGCTGAGGCAGCCCTGCAGGTGATCACCATGTTCCAGGTGTTTCTTGCTGGGACTGAGTGGCTTGTGCATTTTCCCAAGTCCAGATACCCAGCGGATAGGCCTGGGGACTGTTTGGAGTGTCCAGTTTCTGCTGTGCTCACAGCCCTTGGGCAATTAAGCTGGCCACCTGCTGCTTCCTCTGAACATGCTGAATCTGGTGTGCATTTATGCCCAGGAGGGGCCCTGGGAATCCCTCGTCTCTTCCACCGTCCCCTCCTTTAGCCTCCTGCACAGATGGGCAGCATTAAAAGTGAAACCAGCTCCCTCGGGACTTGTAAAGGAAAGTGGATGGGGCTTCCTCACGGTGATGGTTTCAGCACACCAAGTGCTCAGTGCAGCCTCACAAGGGCTGTCCACCTATCCACCCAGGGCCAGGCACGGGGTGGGGGCGATGGCAGTAGCCTGACCCACTCTTTGGGGTCACAAGGTCAGACAGGGCAAAGACCACCTGTGTCCTTACGGAAGGGCTGCTCATGTCAGGGCACCGGTTACTGACAGGCTACGGGCTGCCAGCCCATTCGGTGATGGGCATATCATGCTTCATTGGAGTTGGCGTGGGACGGGAGGTCCGCACTGGCCCCCTTGTCAGGTGTGCTGCTCCTTGAGGCTCACCTGAGCCATCCCAGGACCTGCCTTAAGGAACGGCATCAGAGCAGGGAGACCTAGAGCACCAGCCACCCAACAGGCCAAGAGGAGGGTTGTAAATTGCACAGCCTTCCCCCTACACTGCTCCAGATGGAGCTTCTGGCAGGCATGCAGGGGCCTGACAAGTCCCCTCTGAGAGACGAGCAGCTGGACAGAACCTTCCTTGTAGAAGACCTCTCTCCTCCTACCTGGACCTTTCCACATGCTCGGTGGTCCTGACCAAGCATTTCTTGGGGCAGAGCTGCCAGAGGCTGTACAAAGGCAGGAGGGGACCCAGACCCACGGTGGATGGACCCTGCATTGCCATCGGGGTGGGGAGGGGGCAGCTTTCTCTGAAGTCACCATCACACTGGCCTCAGCCCTGAGAAAGGGCAGTGGGTCTCTTTGGAGATGACCTGAGCGTGACTGCCCCAGCCAGCAGCTTGAGCGCTGACCAGCGAGTCCTGACCCTCAGCCCCTTGGAGCTTCCCTGTCTGCAGGGCCCCCGCTGTCCATCCGTGCTGGACTCCGGCAGGACCCTGACTGGCTCTTGCCATGGCCCATTCCCCACCCCTCCCCCCACCAGGTCTTTTGGAATTGCCTTCTTGGCCCACTGCCACAAGCCTTTGGGGCAGGGCATGGGGGGTCCTTTAGTTCTAGCCTCATTTGGCGTGGGACCCTAAAACAGGCTGTTTCAACCTGGCTTTGGTTGCCTCTGCCTCTCTCTGTCACACACGCATTCCTGTGAGCTCTGGTATCTCAGGGCCAGTCCTAAGTCTCTGTCCCCAGGCCCCACCTGAACCTGCGCTTGCCCTGCTTTGCCGGGAGCGGCCTGCTCTACGGCCCCGGGACAGGCCCTCCCTTCCGGACTTCAGACACCTGGACAGCCCTGCTCCTCAGGTCCTTCCTCCCGTCTCTCTCCCACCCTCATCTCAGTCCTGGCACAGCCCCTGCTCTCTGCCCCAGCTCCTCCAGGGCAGCTCCCGTTGTGCTAGCCACCAGCTCTGTGTCCTGAGCCCCAGTGCTGGCCTGCCTGCTGGTCTGCATCCACTCGCCCCCTCCTCCCAGCAGAGCGGCTACCTGTAACCCTCCAGGCCGGGGGCACCAGCCATCAGTACCTAAACCTCAGCACCCACATCGGTGTGACTCCATCCCAGGGTTTCTCAGCTTGGGCACTATTGACGGTTCGGGCTGGATCACCCTCAGTTGTGTGGGGCTGTCCTGTGCAATGTCGTCAGGTGTTCAGCGGCATCTCAGGCCCCCTAGATGCCCATGATAGCCCCTCGTCATGACAATTCAGAACGTCTCCAGACCTCGCCCCGTGTTGCCCGGGGGAACCCCTGCGGGTGAGAACGGCGCCCCATGGACGGCCTCCCATGGGCAGTCATCTCCATCCATCTCTGGTCCACTCAGCTCGAGGGCATGTCTCCTCCTCCGATTTGGCTTCCGTGTCTACCTCACATCCTGCCTCTTCTCCCCCAGACTCTCTGGGCTCCCACTGCCTCTCTGAGGCCCTGCGGTTGCTGCATTTAATGGGACAGCGAGTGTAAAGTTCCCGGCGTGTCGCCAGGCACGCAGGAAATGCTTGGCAGTCAGTAGCCACTGCTGCTGTCAGGATAGCACCGGTGGGGGAAGGATGCGTCATCCAGTTACTCTGACTTGGCTCATAGTTGCCCGCAGCGCCACCCACAGTCTCTCGGGCCCAGGCATGCCTGGTGGGCCGGCCTCTCTCCCTCACCGTCTGATTTCCCCGAGTGACTCACTCTCTCCTTCCATCCACAGTGTTTCTCTCCTCCAGCTCTCAGGACGTACAGCTGCCAGGAGCCAGGGCAAGGCCACGCCCTCTGCAGAGCCTGCCCTACCTGCCCTTGACTTTCCCCTTCTCTGCAGGGAGCTGGCCACTAGGTCACAACGGTCTCTAAACAGGGCGATGTCTTCACAGCCTTTCTCCCCACAGGTGCCCAGACCAGCTCCTCACACTAGTGCCGGGCAGCGTGGGGCTTCCTCGAGGTGGCGGGATTCTGGTGGCTCGTGTGCTTCCTGGGTTTGTGGGCTGGGTGGGCCCTGACTCCAGAGCCCAGCTCTCTGGGTCTGTCCAAGCCATGGGGTGTGTGTGAGGCATGGGGGCCGTTCTGTGCCCCACTTCCACCCCTCCCGGTCCCGCCCTTGGCGTCCCAGCCCCTGCCAGGGGACTCAGCCCTGTCCACTGTGTCCTCCATGAGTCCTGAGTCTTTCGTGAGCGGCGTGGTCCGCGCGCACCTGTGTGCACGTGCGTGTGCGTGGGGCACAAGAGTCTTGTCTCGTTTCCGTGCTGTGTGGGCAGATGAAGGTTGGCCTGTTTTTACTCTCTCTGTGTTTCTCCTTGTCTTTTTTTTATTCCCTCCTCATCCTCATCGCACTCTGCCATCAACCCAAACTCTCATCTCTCAGATCAGCGAGAAGGTTGGTCCTTTTCACTTCTTATCCATCTACAGTTCTCCCGTCGATGGGATGCTCCCGTCTGTAGGGACCAGCGGGCACGGCCAGCTCCCTTGGGCTCGCTCCAGCCTGGCCTGCCCGCCAGTCGGGCTCTGCTGTCTGTTGTTTGGGCCGACAGGCGGGCAGGACCAGGGGTGGGTGGGCAGGTCCCCCTGCCCCGCATGTTCCTGCTGCTTGGGTCCCTGATAAACCTTGTGTCTGCATGTTCCTTTAGTTGGGCTACCCTACAGGGTTGGGCGAGTCTGGTGCATGGCACGAAGCTGCACTTCACCTTTGTGCCCGGGCTAGGCCAGCTGTCTGTTCCAGGTGAAATTCAGGTGTGGTTGTGGGAGTTATGAGCCGAGGTGCTCTATGTGGACCTGTGGGCCTTCCAGTCACTTAACTCCACGTTTGCCTGAGCTCAGCTGAAACCCCTGGGAAGACAAAGGGAAAAGGCTCATCTGGAAGGAGCTCACCCCCTCAAAATCATGCAGCACAGGACAGAAGTCCTGCAGCGTGTGCCTTGTCCTGGCCCCAGCAGGGCTCAGTAGAGCAACAGCCCTGGTGTGCCTCCTGAGCTTAGAGTCCGTGGCTGTCTCAGGCCCACTAGATGCCCGTAACACCCACATGGGTGGCACATGGTAGGTGGTATCATGGCTCCGCGAGGATGTCTCCTACACTCTTGTCTCTTTCCTCTCTGGCCAGATCCAAACGAAAAGCTTCCCACCTGCCCCAGGCCCCTCTCTCTGCCCGAGTCTGCCAGACAGCTCCCATTCCTCAGCCCCACGCTGGGTCACACCTTGAACGATCTACTGCAACTCAGAGGCCCGCTTGGGAGCCCTGAAGAGGCCCTGTCCCAGCCACAGGTTGGAAAGGGCTTCCTGGAGACTCCGCTCCAGCCCTTCCCAGAGCAGACCCACATGGGCTGTTCTCAGCCCACCCGCAGGAGCTGGCGGTTCTTTCTGGGCCCCGTGGTCTGAGTGGTAGAGGAGGCCCACCTGTCCACGGGGCTTTGGGCTGAGCCCCAAGGAGCTGAGCTGGGCCACCTGGTCCCCTCGGAATCATCTCTGTGGCTTGAGTTTCCTCCATGAGGGAGAGGGAGCCAGTTGAGAGGAGGGCTGCAGCCTCAGCTCAGATATCAGCCCTGAGCGTCCAGCCGTATGCACTCCTGAGCTCTGGGGCATTTGGGTTACACCATTTCGCTGACCGGGCGATCTGCCCGTGCAGTCAGAAAACAGCCATCAGCAGAGACAGTGCAGCCTGCAGCCGCCTCCCTATACGCCCCTCTCCCCCGCCCTCCTGGTCCCTGGTCCCTCCCCCTCCCCCTCCCCCTCCGTGGTCCCACCAAAAATAAGCACGGACACAAATATTTAACAGGAAGGCAGAAGTGAGTTTCTAAATATTCCGGGGGGATTTGCTGGGCTGGTAATTTGTTTGGCGCTGATAATTACATCTTACATTTTTCCAGCTTTACTTAAAACTGCGCCGAGTGTGCCGGCATTTAATTACTGCTCTGCGGCAGCCACAAGGTTATTTATTAAAGAGTTATTTTATCTTGATACAGTGGATCCTGCCCCTTTATCCCCTCCTTAATGTTGTGTTATTTTCATCAGAGAAATTTCCGCGCGTGAATGCAGATTGCGGGGCGGCCTCCCCCTGCTATTAGGCTGTCACTCCACTGAATGCTGGTGTCTCGGGGCGCCGCCCCGCCCCATTAGAGGGGTTGTCAGCGCAAATAATTAGACTTAAAAGTTAGAGCTGAAATATAATCCAGAAATGGCAGGGCCCTGTTTTGGAAACTGTCTGTAAATGTCAGCACTCAGGATGCACGGGGAACAGTAAGGGACCGGCGTTGTTGGAGCTCAGGATTAGACCCTGAGTGCATTTTCCCAGCTCTGGGTTTTCCTTCCCTGCTGTCGCTTCTGTCAATAGACTGAGTCCAGGGTGAGTCCTGTTCCTTTTGGAGGCCTCGTGCCTGAGAGCAGGAGGAATGACAGCGGGGCTGCTGTAGTGAGGCGCCAGCCCCTCTGGGCTGTGGGAATGGGGATGGTTGTCCAAGCAGGTCCAGGATGCACGGCCCCACGGGCACCGGCGACCCCAGCAGGTTGTCTCTCGCCTCTCTTGCCATGTGGCTGAAGCGCAGTGTCCTTGTGGAAGCGTCAAGGTTCGCACACCCAGGAGCGTCTGGGCCGGAGGCCCTTGCCGGCTGCGAGGGGTGACAGTGGAACAGAATACCTTGTCCTCCGGGGACGTGGGGGGTAAAGTCCAGTCAGCTTTCCATGCTGCTTAGGTTGGAACCCAGGATTTGTTGATCAAGGACCTACTTCCTTTTCCTGGGGCTCTTTGTTCTTATGGTCAGGGATCGGACCAGACCCCAAGATTCTGCCACTGACTGGGGTCAGGCTTGCAGCCGAGAGCTCGCACGTGGCACAGGCTCTCTACGTCCCACCCATGTGCCGCCTGGAGAGCCTTGGCTAACCCAGAAACCAACACGCTTCAGAAGCTTCTCTCTGGAGTCACCAGGTGTCTCTTTTCAGCCCTGTCAGCCTGGGCTCAGATGGGCATGCATTTTCCACCAGGCAGACCGACTTAAAGTATCAGACTTTAAGTCTGTCACTAAAGTATCAGACTTTTTAAAAATCCTCACCCGAGGATGTTTTCCAACTGATGATTGGAGAGAATGGAAGAAAGGGAGGAGGAAGGGTGGGAGTGTAGGGGTGGGGGGTGGGGGAGAGGGTCAGGAATCGAGCCTGCAACCGAGGTATGCACCCTTGACTGGCGAGGGCCGAGGCTCTAACCACTGAGAAAGCCAGCTGGGGCTAACATATCAGCCTTAAGCCAGTCCCCTTGTCTGTAATTGGAAGGTGATAGCCATGGAAACCTTTGGCACAGAGCAGGTGCTCAAGAGCGGTCTCCCTTCCCTGAAATGCATGAGCGAAGAGGAGATGAGGCAGCCCCTGGCTGAGAGTAGAGAAGATTTGGTCAGTTAAAACTGTCCCCTGTGCTGTGCTTGACCCTGGACCCTGGACCCTCTACAGGCCTGGGCCTGGCCTGCACACAGACCTGCCTGCGCCTCTGCTCCCCTGGCCTGCTCCTCAGGCCTAGCTCCAGAGGGCAAGGGGTGCCCGCACCACCAGCTGCCCACTGCTCCTTTCCATGCCTCCTGACCTCACCTTTGTGCCATCTGTGGAGCGTGCGCAAAGGGAGCTGGGTCGTGGCTTCCTCTTGCCAGCCAAGCTCCGGGGTCCGCCTGTTCTCTGCCACACAGACCTGCTCTTCCTGCGACCTGCTGCTGTCATTCGGTGTAGACTCCCAGCTTTAGGACAGATGGCAGAAACCCACTTATATGAGCTTAATCAAAACAAGGAAACTCGCTAGCCTTACCAGACAGAAAAATGTAGAAGTAGATTTGGCGTCAGGCAGGACTGGATCCAGGCATTGAACGTTTGGGTGGGCATTTACCTGCCTTGTCTCTTAGCTCTGCTCCCCTCCGTTAGTTCACAAGCAGGTCCTCTCATCCTGTGAAAGATGGTCCCCGGTCCCCTAAGCTTAGCCACCACAGTAGAGAAGGAAGTTCGCTCTTCTAATCATTTTTGCAAAAGTCTAAAGGCTGCATGTTGTTAGCCAGGTCTGGGTCACATACCCCATATGGCAAGAACGGGTTGGTTCCCCTGAAGGAAATGAGGATGCCAGTTCTAGAAGGTAGAATGGTATATGTCTGTGAGACATGCTGAGACCCCAGTGAGCCTGGGGGCACAGGGAAATGAGCAAGCCCGTGACATTGGTCACTCCTGGCCCGCTCAGGCGACTGGCAGTGTTTCTGTTCTGTCTGGAGGCCTCAGAGTGAGGTGGTGTAGATGGAGGTGAGGCCGGGGCTGGGTAAGGTAGGGTTCTGTTAATCTGGGCTGAGGAGTCATTGGGGACCCATGCAGGAGTTTTTTTAACGGGGAAGTGATGTGAGCAGATTTGTGCCAACTGTTGGTTGGAGGGCCAATTATGGGAGGGGGCCTGGGGGATGACAAGGCAGGAGAACAATGAGGAACCCGAGGCAGCAATCCAGGGAGAGATGGTGGTGGCTTAGACCTTGGGATACCAGTTGCTGTGGATTTGGAGGGAAATTAGTGGGTCTGAAAGATATTTTAGGTGGCAATAGGGCACGGTGATCTACTTACTGGGTATCTGGTCCCTGGGCCGCAGCTTGACCCTGTGCAGGAAAGTCAGAGGTTGGACCGGGTGGTCTCTGCATTTGTTTCCAGCTCTGATTCTGTGGCTCTAGGCTATGCAAGCAGCAGAGCCTGAAACCCATAGTGGGGGTGCTCCTGGTGGGGCACCATGGTCTCGCATGCCCGGGCTCCCCAGCAAGGGTCCTCTGAGACCCGCACTCTCAGTGGTGCCCTCTGGTCATTTAGCCTTGCTGCCTGCCTTCTCCAGCCCTGTCTGCAGGGGTGCCCAGGAAGGACACACCCTAGCCTCTGCCACCAGCTGCATGACCCGTCTGCGTGCCAAGCATGCCTGCCCATGGCTAGGTCTTGCCTGCCTTCCCCTCTGCATGTTCCTAATGTCTGTGCCAAGCTTGCCGTTTGGGGGCGGGGAGGTCACTGGGCTGCACCTTGGACTGAGAAGCTCAGAGCAGCTTCTGATCTGCAGAGCCCAAGGCTGGAGGTTGTGGCCAGACACAGCCACCCTCCCCCTTGAGGTCCTGTTCATTGGCGTGGAAAGCCGTCTGCTCGGCACCCTCATCATGTTACTGCCATCATCATGCCCATCCTGCCCGTGGACCACGTCCCTGGCCCTACCCGACCCTTTGCCCCTGCCCAGGCCCTCCTGAGGGGCAGCCCCTCCCATTGGGTTCCTCGGCTGTGCCTTGAGCGTGGCTGAGGTCCCAGCAGGTGGCATGCCACTACCTTCGTCTCTTCCCCTTGGGCTTGGAGGTAGAGGCAGTGACTCCAGAGAAGGTGGCCGTGTCACTCCCAGGCTGCCCCTCTGCCCTGCTCCAGCCGTGCTCCAGGCCCTCTACCTTCGGGTGCCTGGACTTCTCTCACTAGTGCCCCACTCGCCCCTCTGGAGACCCTTGGGGGGCGGGGGTCAGGAGCAGGTAGGGGCCCGCACTGGAAGGTGACCTGGATTGTGGCCTTGAGTAGACCTGGCCTTTGCGCTGAGTCCCTGTATGGCCCTGGGCAGATGGACTCTTCTGGGCCTCAGTTTCCTAGGCTGTAAAATGAGAGCTTGGTTGCGGAATCTCTCGTGTTCCAGACAGTCCCTGAGTGTAGGTGCTGCTTCTAGCCTGAAAGTGGGGTGGGAGGTGCTAAGCCAGGGCCCAGGGACTCCGCCCCTCCTATCTCTGAGGTGGGATTGGCTCTGACAAGAGGGGCTGCCTGGATGAGGGGCCCCTGCCCTTCCATCCTCCTGCGTCTCCTGCCCAGCCTGTGAGCGCCTCTCTCCTCCTCCCGCAGTGCGCCGTGTGGCTCCTCGTTTCTCCATCCCTCCCACTAACCAGGAGGTGATGCCGGGCGGCAGCGTGAACCTGACGTGCGTCGCAGTGGGCGCACCCATGCCCTACGTGAAGTGGATGATGGGGGCCGAGGAACTCACCAAGGAAGACGAGATGCCAGTTGGCCGCAACGTGCTCGAGCTCAACAATGTCGTGCGTTCCGCCAACTACACCTGTGTGGCCATCTCCTCGCTGGGTATGATTGAGGCCGTGGCCCAGGTCACGGTGAAAGGTGAGTGCCAGGGTGCATGGCTGCTGCGGGGCCGGGCCAGGCCAAGTCATTGCTCTCTCCGGGGTGCATCGGCCCTGGGGTCCCCCTGGCCCTCAATAGTGGACGGAGGGGTTTTGTTAATAGTCTTAATAATAATAGCTAACCGGTCCTGAGTCCTGAGGGCGGACGCCAGGCTGGGAAGTACAGATTACATTATTCAGTCTCAGTGCCACCCTGGGGGGTAGATACTCTCATCATCCGCTTTGACAAGTGAAGAAACGGAGATGCAGGGTCCACAGAGTAATAATGGAGCAGCCACTTGAACCCTGGGAGGTCTGACTCCACAGCACGCCCTTCTAACCCTGCGAAGGGCCAGACTTGGGTTTCCCAGCCTCTCAGCAAGAAGGATGTGAAGTAAGATAAATAGCCAAGGAGGATGTTGGCTCCCGGGAGCCCTGGAACAGGCTCTCATGTATAACAGACCCCTCGTCGCGCCCGGCCTCCACTCTGCCCCTCTGGTCCTCCCCCTCCCTTCTGCAGCTTGAGTGATCCGTGTAGCATGTACAACAGGATCGTGCCGCTCCCTTTGAAGAAAGGGAGAAAGCCTTCCAGTGTCTCCCCATGGCTTTTAGGATGAAGACCAGGGATCCCCACTGCAGCCTCCTCGCTGCTGCCCACCCCACGCCGACGCTCCGGGCTCCTCACCCAGCCCTGGCCGTCGCTGGCTCCATCTTGCTCCCTGGGTCTTAGCTCTGTGAGACCTTCCCTGGTCACCCCATCTAAGGAGATTCCCTGGATTTTTTCCCCATCGAGCACCTGGCTCTCTCCTGTCCTTGCACATACCAGCGTCATCCTCAACGTGTTGATTGCGGCTCTCGCACTGGAACTTAAACTCCATGAAAGCAGGGACCTGTCTGTGTGACACGTGCCCTTGGCCCTAGCCTAGTGCCTGACACACAGTAATAATTTGTTGAATGTTGATGGTGCACCTGGAACTTCTCTATCTTTAATGTCAGCCAAGTCACTGGGCCTGTGGGGCCAACAGCCCATCACTTTTTCTAACGCCCAGGGCTACTCCCTGAGGAAAGATCTCCCCCTCCCAGCCTGTTATACACAGGGACCAACAGGTGAGCCCAGGCCAGCTGCAGAAGCAGGTCCCTACCCCCCAGCCTGTGTGCCTCCCATCTGCATGGGACCCTGGGTCTGATTGTCAGAGGAGTCACAGGGGCTGATGTGAGGATCCAGGGAGTCCCGGAAGTGACGCGCCTCAACACCAGAGGACCCAAGGCCCCTGGACGCACTGACGGCACCATCCCCGCTGGGTGCCCTCTGAGGTCACTGCAGACATTCCAGGCCGTTCTTCAGGGTGGGCTGTGGGGGTCAACTACACTTTGGTTCGATGACCCCCAAGAGCAGGGTTGGCCCCTGAGGTCATGACCTCGGGTAACCCTGAACCTCCCACTTTGTCCCCAGCTTTGCCGAACCCTCCAATTGACCTTATGGTGACAGAGACAACGGCCACCAGTGTCACCCTCACCTGGGACTCTGGGAACTCAGAGCCCGTGTCCTACTATGGCATTCAATACCGTGCATCGGGCACCGAGGGCCCCTTCCAGGAGGTGGACGGTGTGGCCACTACTCGCTACAGCATTGGCGGCCTCAGCCCCTTTTCAGAATACGCCTTCCGTGTGCTGGCGGTGAACAGCATCGGGCGAGGGCCACCGAGTGAAGCAGTTCGGGCGCGGACGGGAGAGCAGGCGCCCTCCAGCCCACCGCGCCGTGTGCAGGCGCGCATGCTGAGTGCCAGCACCATGCTGGTGCAGTGGGAGCCGCCTGAGGAGCCCAATGGCCTCGTGCGGGGGTACCGCGTCTACTATACTCCTGACTCCCGCCGCCCCCTGAGCGCCTGGCATAAGCACAACACAGACGAGGGGCTCCTCACCACTGTGGGCAGCCTGCTGCCTGGCATCACCTACAGCCTGCGCGTACTGGCCTTCACCGCTGTGGGCGATGGCCCCCCCAGCCCCACCATCCAGGTCAAGACACAGCAAGGAGGTAGGTGGGGCAGCACGCTGGCTGGAAGGCTCTGGCAGAGTAAGGGTTGGGGGTGGGCAAGGCTGTGGTGGCACCTTCTTCCACAGACTGTGTACTTGGGGTTCAGGGAGGATGAGGGCCTGTATTCCACACATGCATGGTCCCTTGGAATGCAGGATAAGGGTGTGGGGGGTACAGATCTGCCTTCCCCTGCTCCTTCCCCGGGTGCCCTGCCCTCGGGGGGACCAGTGTGGCTGATGGTGCCTGGCATGGGGTGTTGCAGTGCCTGCCCAGCCCACGGACTTCCAGGCCGAGGTGGAGTCCGACACCAGGATCCAGCTCTCATGGCTGCTGCCCCCGCAGGAGCGGATCATCAAGTATGAGCTGGTGTACTGGGCAGCAGAGGATGAAGGCCAGCAGGTGAGCGCCTCGCAAGGACAGGAGGAGGGAGAAGGGCTTCTGGTCCCTGGAGGTCTGTGGTGGGCTTACCCGGGCAGGCCTTTCTAGATTTGTGTAACCCCTGGGGTCCTCCTTGGGGCTCTGTGGCTTATGAGGCCTTTATGGTTCTTAGTCTTTGTCACCCTGTTCTGGGGGCAAAGTCATTAGGTCTGTCCTTGAGTGTCCCGGGCTGTGTGGCTCACGTGACACTGGCAGAGCCCTAAGTTTCCCCTGGGGCTACATGTCCCAGGTGTTCCCCTGCCCACGTGGCCCTTGTGTGGTCCAGGTGGCCATGTGGCATGGAGCCAGCACCGGAGCCACACTGGCTCCAGAGGGGTCAGCTGCACCCATGTTGGGGAACAGCCTCTGAGTGACCGTGGAGGTCAGAGCGGTCAGTGAGTGCTCCCTGCTCTTCCAGCACAAGGTGACCTTCGATCCTACCTCCTCCTACACCCTAGAGGACTTGAAGCCCGACACGCTGTACCACTTCCAGCTGGCCGCCCGTTCTGAGATGGGGTTGGGCGTCTTCACCCCCACCATTGAGGCCCGCACGGCACAGTCCAGTAAGTGTCCTCTGAGACTGCTGCGTGCTGCAGCTGGGCTGGGACACACACACACACACACCCTCCCCCTTGACCAGGCAGGCGGTCAGGTCAGCTGGGCCCTGGACTGGACTCTGGTCTGGGCTTCATAGAGAGGGACAGGTAAGTGCCCTCTAGTCTGTGTCCAGGCGGCTACTGCACTCATTGCTTCCTGCCTGACTTCTGCCCCTACCACGCCCCCTCGCCCGACCCAGGTAAGTTCTGTGTCTGTGACTCATCTCCTTCCTCCACCCGCCTCTGCATTGGTCACACCAGCTGGGTAGGCAGTCCTCAGTGGTGGGACCACTACACTCGCTGTGGCCAGACCAGCCATCTCCCTCCCTGTATCCCCACATTTCATCTCCTCACCCATATTCCTGCCCTCATGCCCCCACCATGAGTATGTGTGGGCCATGCAGTCATGCCAAGCCAATTGCACACAGGGCACACCTGTAAGAATGGGACCACGTGACTGAGCGTGTCCATGTGCCTGCACTGCGATCACGTGGCCATCTGTGTGGAACCAACCGCGAGGCTGTTTGTGATAACTTTGTGGCGTGTGTATTGCTGTACTCCCGCATGAGTGCGACATGAGTGCGACTGATTCCGTGAGCGTGCGTGTTACCCCATCTGACCACCTGACCGCAGTCCTGCAGGTGTGTGTCAGTGAGTCTGTGCCCCTGTGATTGGGTCTGTAAAGCTGTTCTTAGGATTGGGACCCAGCAAGTGTGTCTCTGGGTATCTGACCCCTGACCCTGTCTGTGGGTCTCTGCAGCTCTCCTGATGACACACCATGGAACCACGGCTACAGCAGGCCACTGTCCACAGGCTCTGGGTGATGGCAGTGCTGTGGGTATGTGGCTGGATGGGACCGTGGCATTGGGACAGGAAGCGTGTGTGATAACCTTAAAGCACAGCGGCATCTGTGAGAGGTCCGTGTCACAGCGACTACTCAAATGTGCCAGAGATGTCAGGGAGCCACGTGTGACGTGATGCTCATGGATTCGTTCCACAAGCACCTCTTGTGCTCCTGCTGGGCGCCAGGCCCCATACACAGTGCAGGTCTGGCAACACGACCCTGGCACAGCCTCTGCCCACGGGAATCCTAGTCTGCTGTTAAACCTGCAATTATCCAAATGAGCTTTTAATTACATTTGTGTAAAGTGCTGTGGAGGAGAGACAGTGGAGAGATGGTGGGACGGGAAGAACCTCATCTGGTCTGCGGGTTCAGGGAGGGCTCCGGGCAGGGGGTCAGCAGGTGCCAGGGCCTAAAGGAGGTTGGTGTTTGGTTGTGGTCAGGGGCAAGCAGCAGGCCAATGTGGCTGGAGCAGCAGCCAGACCACGGGGACAGAAGACAGGTGGGAGTGCTGGCTGACTGGCTGCTGCATGCGAACGGGTAGAGTTGCCTGACAGGATGCCAGGGACCAGTGAGGAGTGAGGAGGCTGTGCGGCTGTTGGCAAAAGACGGCGGCTCAGGTGAGGTGTTGGCAGTGGCTGTGCGGGCTGTCTGGGATGCTGACTGACCAGGATCTGGTGATGGATGAGTCTGGGGGCTGAGTGGGAAACGTCAGGTGAAGCCTCTGTTTCTGATGTATAGACCTGGGAGGAGGGTGGGAGCTCTCCTGAGGGTAGGCAGTGGGACAGAAGCAAGCACTCAAGCTCCAGATAATATTCTCCATCCGCTTGGCAGGCTGCCGGAGCCCGGGTGGAGATGGAGGGCCCTGAGGAGGATGGCCGGAGGTGGGAGGAGGTCCAAGAGAAAGGGGGTTGGAGGTGGAAGAAGAGAGTTTCAAGAAGCAGGCCAGGTGTTGCTGCTGAGAGGTCAGGACCAGAGGAACGGGGAGGAATGGGTCTGGAAGAGAATTTTGGTGGTTTGAGGGACTGACGCCTATTGGATTTCACAAGGCAAGACGGGCAGTAAGGACAGAGACGGAAAGCTCAGACGTCGATGTTTAGTCGGGAGGAAGGGGACCCCTGTAGCTGGTGGGACATGGGGCTGAGGACGGGGCCTGTCTTTTCTGATGGGGAAGTCTTTCTTTTTTTTTTAAATATATTTTATTGATTTTTTACAGAGAGGAAGGGGGAGGGATACAGAACTAGAAACATCGATGAGAGAGAAACATCGATTCAGCTGCCCCCTGCACGCCCCCCACCGGGGATGTGCCCGAAACCCAGGCACGTGCCCCCGACCAGAATCGAACCGGGACCCTTCAGTCCGCAGGCCGACGCTCTATCCACTGAGCCAAATCAGTCAGGGCAAATGGGGAAGTCTTAAGCATATTTAAATGCTGCTGGAGGGGAAAGGGGAATGGGAGGCTCCGGAGGGGCAGGGGCAGAGCCCAGGTGCTGGGAGTGATTGGCCTCGGGCAGGAAGGGGAGGAAAGGAGAGAATGCAGTTTGTTGGTGGATGTGGCAGCAAGGGGTGGATGGAGCTGCTTTGGGGAAGCTGGTTTTCTCTGCGGAGTAGGAGAGAGGGTCAGGTGCTGAGGGAGGGGGGTCATGGGAGCCGGAGGTTTGAGGAGCATGGAGGAGGTTGAAACTACTCTGTGTCACATGGCAGAGTGAGGTGGACAGGAAACAGGCTGTCAGGCAGCGTGGAGGGCCCAGGCGAGGCCATGGGGACGGGATCAGAGGATGCCACCCTGACTGGCCAGTTGGCTCTCCCGCCCCAGTGCTGCTGTAGAGAAGGTGGAGAGTTGGGTTTATTCAGAGCTCAGGGGCAGGCCGGGCAGGAACATGGGACAGGAAGGGAGACAGGAAGGGGGCGAGGGAGTTGGGGTGTTGGTAAGACGGAGGACTTCAGTGTTCAGGCTGAATGCTAAGGACAGTAAGGATGCCAGTCAATAGGCAGAGGTCTCCAGGGGGTACAGAGCAGGCACAGTGCTGGGGGCCTTGAGCAGCTGGGCTGGGAAAGAGGTGAGGCCTGCGAGGGAGCGTTGGAGCCACGGTTTGGGAGGTAGGGCTGTTCCCGGTCGGTCACGGCATTATCCAGGGCATGAGCACAGCAGTGCTGGGGAGGAGCAAGCCTTGGAGTGCGGAGGCTGTGAAGTCACGTGGGCAGGGGTGGTGGCAGCACCTGAGATGCAAGAAGCCCATGGGGCGGCAGCAGTCCTGAGTGGGAATAGGGTCTGGAAGTGTCACTGGGAGCAAGGAAGGCACCGACCTGCCTCCTGACCCCCATTGAGAGAGCACCTTTCTCAGGTACTTTATCTCCAAACTACCCGGGGCCATTGGCCTCCTTTGCATCTGGCCTCCTGTCTTTGTCACCTGTGGCTCCGGCACAGACCCCTGTCCAGGCAGGCACAGGCCAGGGGCATCCTTGTTCCAGAAGGGCCATTGCAGCCTCTTGTCCTCAGAAGAGAAGAGCTGTGTGCAGTTGCGTGCTCGGGGTGGGGGTGTCATGGCCCCGTGCTTGTGTGTGCCTGATGCTGTGTGTGTTTTGGGCGAGACACCATATGTGTGAGGCACTGTGTGAGAGACACCATATGTATGTGTGGGAGATACCGTTTGTGTGTGTGTGAGAGAGAGAGACAGCTGGCGTGCACATGCCTATGGTCCAGGGGTAGCCAGGCTGTCTGGCAGCAGTGGCTGTAGTCTGCCTGGGGGGCCCTCGGATAGCCATTGCCCCTCAGGGAATGACCTTCCTGGGTGAGTTCCCCTCCTCTGTGACTTGTCACCGTGCCTGTGACCCCCCTCCATCTGCCTGCTTCCCCCCATTTGTCTTCCCCAGCCCCCTCCGCCCCTCCCCAGAAGGTGACCTGTGTGAGCACGGGCTCCACCACAGTCCGGGTAAGTTGGGTCCCACCGCCGGCCGACAGCCGCAACGGTGTTATCACCCAATACTCGGTGGCCTACGAGGCGGTGGACGGCGAGGACCGCCGGCGGCAGGTGGTGAACGGCATCAGCCGCGAACACTCCAGCTGGGACCTGGTGGGCCTGGAGAAGTGGACGGAGTACCGGGTGTGGGTGCGGGCGCACACGGACGTGGGCCCCGGCCCCGAGAGCAGCCCGGTGCTGGTGCGCACCAACGAGGACGGTAGGCAGCGACACCGGGGGACGGGCGGGAGGGAGGCCTGCCGCCGGGGCCTTTGTCTCTCACGGGCCCAGGACTCCTCTTCCTGGTGTAGGCTTACTGGCCAAAACCGGGGAGATGTAGCTTATGGGATAGCCTGTTAGGGGATAGCCTATACCCAAATCCCAGCCTTCAGGGCTATTTCCAGGGCAGCCAGAGCCTTAAAAGGCTAAGATGGAAGAAGTAGCTCCCCTCCTCTCAGATTTGAGAGATGAGGACCAGGAAGATGGGTGCCAGAGACACTCAAAACACAATCAGGGAGACTCCACCTGGCCTGGACATTGGCATGACATGGGGCCCAGGAGGAGATACAACAGGCTGTGCTGACTTTGGGGTCATCAAAGACCTCTCCCCGAGTGAGGTGGCCCTGAGCCAGAGGGGTCACAGGGTCCTGGGTCCTCCCCGCTGCCCGGCAGAGGGAGCCCTCCGTGTTCCTCTCCATGACAGGCAGTCTGAGGAAGTTATATCAGGGCCTCTCCTGGGGCAGGAGGTGCAAGGGCAAGGCCCTGGGGTGTGCTGTGCCCACCCGAGCCAGGACCCATACCTCCAGGACTGACTTCCTTGTCTCCCTGATCCCCAGTGCCCAGTGGGCCCCCACGGAAGGTGGAGGTGGAGCCGCTGAACTCCACCGCCGTGCACGTCTCCTGGAAGCTGCCGGTCCCCAGCAAGCAGCACGGCCAGATCCGAGGCTACCAGGTCACCTATGTGCGGCTGGAGAATGGCGAGCCCCGTGGCCCACCCATCATCCAGGATGTCATGCTGGCTGAGGCCCAGGTACGCCCCTGGGAGATGGTGGGCGAGACCAACACGCCGGCTTCCTCTCTGGAGCCCAGGTTTACTCCCTCCCCTGCCTGCTCCCAGAGGGACGGTGGCACTGAGACCAGGAGGTTAGGGCTAGGTTCCAGAAATAGGCCCTGCCAGCCCCCTCCGCCCGGTGCCAGTCCTGGCCTGGCAGGCACCTCTGTGGCTCAGCCCCCAGCACCAGCACTAAATAGCTCTGTCTCCACAGACCCAGGCCTCCGTTGTCACGGCTACCTGGGCTTCCGACCTCCAAGTCCTCCTGTGAACCTTCGCTGTCACATGAGGCAAGGCTTTCGAGATATACCTTCCTCCTAGACAGTGCTGAGCTGGCCAGCTACTGCTCCCACAAGGGCCGGGAAAGCCCTCCTGGGCAGTCTTCTCCCCCAGCTTGGCCCTTGGCCATTGCCGCGTTCTGTGAATGGCCAAGCTGGGATGTTCATCTGTGCCAGGCCCCCAGGAGGATGGCTCAGTCCCTTATGCTTACTCTCAAGAGCTGGGCCTGCCAGCGAGCCTCACATCTCCCTCTGTATTCTGTCCTGGGGGGTGATGATTCTGCCCCTGAGCTGGGGGTGAGGTCCCTGGGGTATCCTCAGCACTGGGTTGCTGTTCAGATGAAGAACCTGGGGTCCTGGGAGGGGGTGTGATGGCCCAGAATTCCCAGTAAGTAGGTGGCTGGGCTTGGATAAGAAGCCAAGTCTCTGGAGTCCCGGGGAAAGGGCTGTGATTGCTATTGCAAGCCCCCTCCCAACATCTGGCGTGGTGTGCTCTCAGCATCTCCCCATCTAGAATCCGGGCCTTCAGGGAGCCAGCCCTCAGGAAAGGAGCCCTGATTCCCTCCAGAACCATGCACCCTCCCCATCCAGCTTCCCACCCTACCTGGGCTGGGATCGGAGGTGCAAGCACTTGCCCTGCTCTGTGCTTACTGGCGGTCTCACCCACATAGACAGGGGCCTTCATGCCTCCCGCTGGGCTCAGCCCTCTGAACAAGATTCCTTTTTCCCCAGGAGATACCCTCTTCCTCCCCTCAGAGAACAAGGGGGTGGAGGAGGCAGGCATGTGTACCCGCCGCATTCCTGGGGCAGGTTGAGGGCTCCTCCTGGAGCCTCAGCGGACACACCCACCCAGAAACATCCCGGGAATGGGCTCTCTCCAGCCCCTCCCGCCCTAGGGGCCAGCACACAGCTGCAGCCAGTGGGGTTCTGGAGAAGCCTCTTCGGGTGCCCCCTTCTGGTCCGAGGTGGTTTAAAGGGAGCTGGGCTGTAGGAGGAGGGACATTGCCCTCTTGGCCTCAAGCATCCTGTGACCTGGGTGGGGGTGGGGGGTTAAGCATGAGCTCAGGCTCCAGGGAAGCCCCCGTGGGACTGGGTCATTCTGCTCTGAGCCAGTAGGAGAGCAGATGGGGCCTGGTCCCCAGTCTGGCCACAGGGCCCAGCTGTCCCCTGAGTGGTCTGTCAAGGACACCACAGCCTGTCCTTCACTCAGCAGCACCATCTGCTAGGCTCAGGGCCCCCAATCCATTCTGAAAGAACCATGGGGTATGTGCTCCTGAGAGTGTGTAGCCAGACCAGGCTGCTTCTGTGTATGTCTCAGGTTTGTCTCTGTTTCTCATGGTCTCTGACTATACCTCCCTGTGTCCTTCTGTCCCTTTCTTGTGGTCTCTCTCCTTTGTTTCCGTTTCTCCTTCTCACTGTGCTTCTGTCTGTTTCATTCTCTTCTCTCTCCTTTCCTCTGATCCCTTCCTGTTCTCCTTCCTCGTTATCTTGCTCCACTTGCTTTGTATTTCCCTTCCTCTCTCTCACTCTGCCTCCAACTCAGGAGAGGTGCCCCGTGAGAACCTCCCTGCCCAGGCCTGCCTTGCACGGTGCGTGCCTCCCATCAGGCAGGGAGCCTAGAGCAGAGGTGGGCCCAGCCATGGCTGGTAGGGGTCTGCCAGTGGCCTCCCCCCATATCCTGTCCCACTCTCCTTGCAAGGCCTTTCCAGCAGAGCTTCCCAGAACAGAAGGAACTGGGCACAGTGCGCAGAGGCCAGACCAGCACTGTGAGGATGGCTGGGCTGGAGGACCCGTGGTACCTCCCTCTTGGAGATGTCACAGACCGTTTCCCTGCGCTGTGCTGTGCTGTGCTGTGCACCTGCCAATCCCCAGCACTCCAGTGCCATAGGATTGCAGGATGGAGACGTTACTTCCTCCACCTGTCCAGCCTAACACCTACTGCATCATGAACTAAAGAAGAATGCACCAAGAAATAGCAACACTGCAGCCCTGACGCATGCCTCCCTACTTTGATGAGATCTTGGGCATCCCAGGGAGGAACAGGGGTCTTGAGTGCCTCCCCCGTGCCTGTGGGGCAGGGCCCCGGCTCTGAGTTTGGCATTCACACTCTCAACTTGCTGTCCGGCCTGCCCCGGGCTCCACCCCTAGCCATGGTGCAGCTCTCAGTGTCCCCAGGACAGTCCTCCTGCCTAGGATGACTGTATAATCTGTTGTCCCAACCGGGATACTTTTGAAGGTAAAAGGATACTTTTGCGAGTCAGTAATCATACCATGGCGACAAGCGTAGGCCAAGCCTGTCCCGGGCAAACCAGGTTGTGCAGCCACCCTCCCTGCTCATCCCGTGGTGTCTTCCCTCCCAGCTACCTGAGCTGTCCTGCCCACCCCCATGTCGGGCGGCCTGGCCCTCAAAGAACCTTCAGGTGCGCTCTCTGATCCCTCAGTAACCTGGAGCCCTCTCCTCCTCAGCCCTGACACACACAGTTGGGCTCATGAGGCAGGGGCTGGGATCTTCAGGTAGAGAGTTGTTTTGGGGTGCTGCCCTCATGGGCACGTCTGAGGCCCATGTCCTCCATCTGCCCTCCCTGGGCCAGACTCTCTCCAGGCCAAAGTCTTTCACATCCTGTCTCCCTTTCTCTCCCTCTCCCGCGGTCAGTGGCAGCCAGAGGAGTCCGAGGACTATGTAAGTAACAGGTGTGCGAATGCGGGCGAAACCTGGGTCAGGCTGGGCTCTTGGGTCACTCCCTCTCTTCCGCCTTTCCTCCCAGCCTGAGCCGCCAAGATCCACAGGGCACCAGCCACATCTGGAGAAAATAGGCATCTAGACAGGAGCCCCGAGCTGAGCCGCCATTGGCCTTGCCTCTAATCCTTTCTTCTCGCCTGTTGAGCAGCAATTTCTGGCCAATGTTTGTGATTGACCAGGGCCTGGCCACTGCTCTGGCCAGACGGGGATGGAGTTAAATCCAATCCTGATTGTTAGGCCTTATTGATCCCTGGAATGAAAAGTCACCTGCTCTGGGCCCAGGCTGGGAGGGGGATCCGGGGAGCCCGGTTCCATCATCGGTGCATTCTGGAGTCCCGGCCCTGGGAGACCCTCCAGCTGGGACAGGAGGGGGCCTGCAGGGGTTTGGTGGTGGCTGCAGTGACCCATCCAAGGCTCAGAGCTGGAGGGACACCAGGGCTGGTGGTGACAGCTCTGTTCCCAGTGCACGTTGGTCCCTCCCTTCTTCCCTCTGTGTGGCGTGGCTTGGTCTCCCATGGTTTCTCAACGTGTCCGAAAATGATGCCTTGGCTGGACAAGGGCATATGGGCAGGGCCTGCCGCGGCAGGGAGGACAGTGCCTTGGCTGACTTCTCAGGCATCATTGGACTGATGGGTTAGTGCATTCCCCAGTGTGGGGGTTCCCTGTCCTTGTCTCTCCTCCCTGTCTCAGGAGGCATTGCAGGGCATAAGGTGTTTGTGGAGCCAGTGCCTCGATGGGGGTCAGATTGGGGTCCTGACTTGATCCTGCAGGGTGATACTTTGGTCCATTCCTCTACCTTGCTCTGTGGGTGTGCATGGGTGTGTGTGCTAGGAGCCATGCAAGGTGCTGTGTGCGTGCGAGGCCCTGTGTGTCATGTGTGCACAGACCTCACGAGGTGTTATTCACAGTACAATGGAGTGAAAGAACAGTGTGGCCCTTTGTTCTTGTCTGAAAGGAAGAACGAGCTGTCTGCCCCAGGCGTGCGGATCCTGGGATGGGCGGGGTCCTCCTGGGCACACATCCCACCTGCCTGGTCCCGCCTCTAGCAGAGGCCAGCATTGCACAGCACCCTCCCAGGACCTCCGGCCCTCTGAGCCTGGGGACGCCCCACCGGCTAAGAGCCTGAGGTGGCTGGCCTGGTCTGGCCTCTCCTTGCTCTCCTGTGATGGGCATGGGCTCCTCCTCCTCCCTTAGGAAACCACCATCAGCGGCCTGACCCCCGAGACCACCTACTCCATTACTGTCGCTGCCTACACCACCAAAGGAGACGGTGCCCGAAGCAAGCCCAAAATTGTCATGACGACGGGGGCAGGTGAGTAAGGGGTCCTGGACAGCTGAGGGAGGGGCTGCGAGGAGGGCAGTGCCAGAGCCCAGTGCGTGGTTGTTCAGTCCCAGGCCGGCCCACCATGATGGTCAGCACCACAGCCATGAACACTGCCCTGCTCCAGTGGAACCCACCCAAGGAGCTGCCTGGCGAGCTGCTGGGCTACCGGCTGCAGTACTACCGGGCTGACGAGACAAGGCCCAACACCATAGATTTTGGCAAGGATGACCAGCACTTTACGGTCACTGGCCTGCACAAGGGGGCCACCTACATCTTTCGGCTTGCCGCCAAGAACCGGGCCGGCCTAGGTGAGGAGTTCAAGAAGGAGATCATGACCCCCGAGGACGTGCCCAGCGGCTTCCCACAAAACCTGCACGTGATAGGGCTGACTACCTCCACCACGGAACTGGCCTGGGACCCCCCAGTGCTGGCGGAACAGAACGGGCACATCACCAGCTACACCGTGGTTTACCACGACATCAACAGCCAGCAGGAGCTGCAGAACACCACTGCCGACACGCGCCTGACTCTCTCCGGCCTCAAGCCAGACACCACTTACGACATCAAGGTCCGCGCACATACCAGCAAAGGCGCCGGCCCACTCAGCCCCAGCATCCAGTCCCGGACCATGCCCATGGAGCAAGGTGTGTGCTGCGGGCACGTCGCTGCTCCTGGGGAACTCTGCTGCTTTTGACCGCTGACTTCTGGCCACTGGTCCACCGGCCTCTGCTCTGTGACCCTCCAGTCTCTCATGGCCATGACCACTAACCTCTAGCAGATGGGCACTGCATTCTCCGTGTGTGACCTCTGACCTCTGCTGTCTTGACCTCCTGACCTCTGCTGTGTGACTGTCCAGTCTCTTGTGACCTTGACCCACTGATCTCTCTTGACTGTATCACCATTCTTGGGTATGCCACACTAATCTCTTGGGGCCACAACCCACTGACCTCTTAATGGACGTGCTGCACTGTCTCTGGTGTTTGGCTACATGCTTCTCATGACCAAAGCCCACTGACCGGTGGCCACTCTGACCTGGTGCCTGTGAGCGCCAGCTTTGACCCAAGCACTCTTGGAGATCCTGGCCATGGGTGCTGTGGCGTCTGCCAGCTCGGTGCTCACGGGGTGGAAGAGCTGGGCCTGGGGGCTGAGCTGTGTGATTTGAAGCCGGCTGGGAGTGGGGTACCTGGTTCTCTGCAACTGTTCCTAACCCCTGCACCTCAGTGAGTGTCTCTTCCTGGCTGGGAACCTTTCAGGCCCATTCACTCCACCCCCGTGACCACAGCAGCACTGACTCCCTGCTTATATGTTCCACAGTGTTTGCCAAGAACTTCCATGTGGCAGCCGCAATGAAGACGTCTGTGCTGCTCAGCTGGGAGGTTCCTGACTCCTACAAGTCGGCTGTACCCTTCAAGGTGGGTGAGGGCCACAGCCAGCCCAGCCTGCATGCGGGACGGCACGGCCACAATTCCAGTCCGTTGTGGGCACGTGTATGCGTGTGTGGCGCAGGACCCTGGTCCGGTGTGCACGCACGAGCTCCATCCTGCAGGCCTGTGACGGGGCGCCCCTCCCCCCTTTCCCCGCAGATTCTGTACAACGGGCAGAGTGTGGAGGTGGATGGGCACTCGATGCGGAAGCTGATCGCAGACCTGCAGCCAAACACGGAGTACTCGTTCGTGCTGATGAACCGGGGCAGCAGCGCCGGGGGCCTGCAGCACCTTGTGTCCATCCGCACAGCCCCTGACCTCCTGCCGCACAAGCCGGAGCCCGCCTCTGCCTACATGGAGGACGGCCGCTTCACCCTCTCCATGCCCCACGTGCAGGACCCCTCCCTCATCAGGTGTGCGGACGAGGCCTTGGGCAGGAGGACAGGGCCGGTGACGTGGGCAGGGACAATGACAGACCTGTTTCCTGCTCTGCCCGCCCAGGTGGTTCTACATCGTGGTGGTGCCCATTGACCGTGTGGGCGGGAGCATGCTGACGGCAAGGTGGAGCACCCCTGAGGAGCTGGAGCTGGACGAGGTGCGGGCTGGGGCAGGGCAGCGCTACGACAGCCCCGTGGCAGTGGTTAGCTGTGGCCCCAGTGGCTCCCCTAAATGGGAATCACTCTCTGGTTGCTCTTGTTGGCAGCCAGGCCCCTCCGGGGAAGAGGGACTCTGAGATGGTTCCCAGGAGTTCTAGAACTGGCTTATGGAGGATTCCCTGGAGGAGTTTGCCAAGGATCCCTGGAGTGGGAGAAGGCAGAAACATCTCTGTGGGTCTAGAGAACCTTGAGTTCTGTAGGCTCTAGAGCAGTGGTTCTCAACCTTCTGGCCCTTTAAATACAGTTCCTCCTGTTGTGACCCAACCATAAAGTTATTTCCGTTGCTACTTCATAACTGTAATGTTGCTACTGCTATGAATCGTAATGTAAATATCTGATATGCAGGATGGTCTTAGGCGACCCCTGTGAAAGGGTCGTTCGACCGCCAAAGGGGTCGCGACCCACAGGTTGAGAACCACTGCTCTAGAGGGTCTCCAGGGTCTAGAGTGGAGCCCCCAGGGCCTTTGGGAGCCTCGTCCTGTCCTAGCAGCGTGGAACCGGCAGAGGCAGGTTACCCAGAGGGAAGGAGCGGCACTGCTATTACTGGGTTGGCGGGAAGGAGTGGCCTTGCCGTATCCGGTGTCCAGCATTTTTCTGCGAGGAAAGCAGGCCGGGCAGGCTCGGGCCCCTTACACAGACGGTGAGCCCTGGTCTCGGCCCAGGGACACGTGCTCCAGGGCCGGTGTGACTGTGCTCTGCTCTGACAGCTCCTGGAGGCCATCGAACAGGGCGGCAGCGGGGAGCGGCGGCGGCGGCGGCGGCGGCAGACAGAGCGGCTAAAGCCTTACGTGGCTGCTCAGGTGGACGTGCTCCCTGAGACCTTCACCCTGGGGGACAAGAAGAGCTACCAGGGCTTCTACAACCGGCCCCTGTCCCCGGACCTGAGCTACCAGTGCTTTGTGCTCGCCTCCCTGAAGGAGCCCGTGGACCAGGTCTGCCTGAGCACCTGGGCCCCCAGCACCCCGAGACCCCAGGCCTGACCCCAGACCAGGCCAGGCTCAAAACACCCTGAGATCCCAGGCGTGAGGCAGCCCCAGAAACCCCAGACCTACATAAGAGATCGTAAGACACCAGCCTCTAGGATCCAGAAAGCCAGGCCTAGTCTATCCTAGGGACCCAGTCAGCTGACCAGGCTCTTAGGTCCGGGAGACCAGGCCCAGCCCCAGAGCCCTCTCTCGAGGTTTGGTGGGCAGCGGGTGGGAGATCTCACACCGAGCTCACCGCCCGTGCTGTTCCCCCACTGGGCCACAGAAGCGCTATGCCGCCAGCCCCTACTCCGATGAGATTGTGGTCCAGGTGGCGCCAGCCCAGCAGCAGGAGGAGCCCGAGATGCTGTGGGTGACAGGCCCCGTCCTGGCAGTCATCCTCATCATCCTCATTGTCATCGCCATCCTCCTGTTCAAGAGGTGAGTATTGCGCTCAGGACTCCAGGGCGGCCACCTGTCCCCAGACTCCCAGGCCCTCCCCAGGCGTGGTGCATTCGGGCACAGGGCAGCCACACCCGCCCAGGGCTCAGTGGGAAGCCAGAAAGAGCAGAAGCAGCGTGTGTGCACATGTGTCTGTTACCTAGGTGTGATAAGAAGCCGCGGCTTCACAGAGGGCTGGTTCACGTGCATCCGTGGGCGTGTCTGTCCATTAGTCTCTGTCCGGCGGGCGTGAGCATGTCTGTCTCAGATACTGCCCTCTCCTGGTCTCCTACCGTCAGCAGTGCCTCTGCCGCCATTCCCAGATGCCTCCCCAGCCTGGCTCTCCCGCTTAGGCCGAGGGAGGTCCAGGCCCGGCTGGAGGCCCCCATGCCCACGGATGTTTACTTGGCAGACATTGATTGAGTGCTTGCTGCGATTGCCACATTCACAGCTGTCCTAACTCAGTGCATCTTGAACTTTCCTCGAAACCCTCCTCCCATCGCCCTAGTTACCACCCTCACCCTTCCTCTCCCTCTCCCTCCACTGCCTCCTCTGAGCCCTATCCTGAATACCTGTGGATCTACTCCCCCTGTCCCGCGGGGCTCCCCACGGATCAGGCACGTGCAGGCAGCTGTCACCTAGCACACAGCACATCTCAGTTCTCTCCCCACCTAGTCGTAGCCACCTGCTCTTGGGTCCCCCTTTCTATCCTTTAATCTTGCAGCCTGAATGGTATTACCAAAGATTAGAAATTTGTCGCCTCAGTTTAAATCTTTTTA